AAAGGTAAAAAACTATTTTAAATCGTTTTTTTCATCTAAATAGTTATCAATTTAACGCACAATAATTGTTTCCAACTATAATTAATCATGAGACCACTTTCTGTGCAACAGAAGCGAGATATTGCTCTCGTTAAACAAGGGTTATCAGTCAGAAAAATTTCCTCATATATTGGTGTCAGTGTAGATAATGTGTCTAAAATATGTCAAAAGAAAGCGCCCAATGCCAAAAAACCATTACCTGGTCGACCAACAGCGCTAGATACAGTCAAAAAGCAGAATATTGTGAGAAAAATAAAAAGTATCTACATCAAAGATTGTTCAAATTTTCAGTAGATCGATTGAATAAAATAATTTAAAAGCCAAAACTCAGTTTACTTTTTTACCTGAAATTCGTATTGAGTTAAAATTTGTTTTTTTTATTATTTAAATATTTGTTCAATTTAAATTGTCTCGTAAATGTCATAAAGTGTTTGCATTTTTTATGGACTCAAATAAATATACGATTCCGTCCCAATTTTAAAATTGAAAGAGAAATTATTACAATAGAAAACTGGTTGTTAATTAATTCAGACAATCGAGTCACTATTGGAAACGTTTCTGGTCGTAATTAGACACAGCATAACACAATATCCGCACTTTTTAATAAAAACGGATTACTTCGAGATAATCTTAAAAGCCTAACTCTTCTTTAATCTTAATTGAAAATTAAAGCCCCTCAAGATCCTCTTTAACCTTAATTTGTTCAATTTTTTATATTAAACTTTGAAAGAATTTTTTATCCATACAGTGGTATTACTGTGGGACGTGAAGTTATTAATTCAATAGCCTAAACAGCCAAACAGTTTGATTAAATTAGAATCTAAAATGAAACCACAAATCATCAAAAACGCAGTTTACCATTTTAATTCAGTGATTTTGCATTCAGTATTACAGGCTATCAATTTCGATTTGGAGTATGAAATTTGTCGAAAAATTATAAGTAATTCAAAAGAAACTTTTTATATATTTATACAGGGTAGTGTTATTCTTGAAAATGGGTGATAGAACTTGTCGAGATAAGCAAAAAATGTAAAGTAACATATTTGCAAATTCGCGATAGTTACCGAAATATTCCAGGTTAAAATTTTGTCAAACGATGCTAGAACAGGCTGCCTTACAGACGTACAGTACAGTACAGTATAAACTGTTGACCTACGACTGAAAATGGAAGCTGGTAGTGTCGGAGTAAAGTGATCGCGCGTGATTATGGCTTGTCATTTATTGAATAAGATTTAATAGTTTTAAACTGTAATGTAGCAATCAATATAAAAAAGGTTTTCTAAAATAATTAATTTTGAACTTTCGCAAAGATTCTTTGGAAGGATAGACTAAAAAGCAATTACGAAAAGCTTGTCATTGCAGTTATATTAATATTTTTTCCCTCTAAACTGACAACACTGGGATTCTAAATTAAGTCATTTTCATTACTTTAACTTCGAATATTTCAGTAAATATCGAATTTGCAAATATGTTACTCTACATTTTTGCTTATTTCGACGAGTTCTATCACACATTTCCAGGAAGAAGACTTATTTTGCAACACCTTGTATATATTAGGATATACAATGTATTTTGTATATTCTAATTTATATTCAATGTACAGTCAACCCCCTATAACACTGTTGATAATTCTGTTTTATATGAATTCCATGTTGTACGAGTCACTTAGATTTTATAAATACGTGAGCCGTTCACAGCCTAGCACACATATTTATAAAATCTAAGTGACTCGTACAACATGGAATTCATATAAAACGGAATTATCAACAGTGTTATAGGGGGTTGACTTGTATATGATAATATACTGCTATGATCAGAGCGGTAAAGTTTTTATGAAGACTGTCGCAAACTCGCAGTCAAGTTTTATTTATTTTTTACATCATTAGTTAATGAAAAAATCTAATAAAAACGGTAAGGTTTGTGGGAATTGTAGGTATGATTTATCTCAGATACTGAATAAATATGGTTTATCGCCAGTCACATTTATCTAGGAAGAATAATTATGGAAAGGGTCGTTTGAAACCAAGGTTTCGAACGATCCTTTTCAAATGACCAATATGATTAATAATTCTAATCTTTCCGAATTATAAAAGAAACTTTCTACTCGTCATATAGGATAATTATGTTGTATTGCTTGCTTTTCCAAGTGAAAATAATTTTATGTTTCCATCCATTCCATAAAAATTTTAGTCTTTTGGCTCAAGTTCGGTTAAATAGAAACAAATTTTTCAATGAATTTTTCAATCAAATTATATCCAAATCTAAAAAATATGTGAATTATGTCTGTCACCTATGCCTATCTTTGATATATTTTGTACATATAATAAACTATCAATATATACGTCGATAATTAATATGCAAGTAGATCAAATAGTCGCTATATCTACTGAATGTTATTTTGGAACTTTTTAAATGCTATTTGTAGAGTAGAGGTATACAAGATGTACAGTTTCTTTCTAATTATTTAAAAACTTATCATCAAGAAACTGTTTAATTTAATAATGTTGACTTATTTTGTAAAATTAATGTATATATACATTATTTAATTTAAATATTACCTTTACTATGCCTCCTGTAATAAGATTTTCCCTTTTATTAATAAAGTTTAAGATTGATTAAAATCATCATTAAAAATACGAATATAAGAACGTGGTTTTCTTATATTCAGATCATCGTTCTGTATTGATATATGTGTTTGATTTCCTGTGAATTTCCTATGACTATATGTTAGTTATTCCTGTTTTGTTATCTGTTCTAGATCCTGTTTTTTTATGAAGCAATTGGCTGTATTTCTGTTTTGTCTCAGTGCACCATTTGCATTCTCCTTTGTCACGGGATAATTGTTGCTTATTAATTGTTATCATAAGGTAAACAGGTAAGTTGTTTCTTTTTATATAATTTATATTCTATATTCGTAATAAATTATCTCTCTTTAACCCATGTTTTACTTTCTGGGCTGTTATAAAATATAATTTGGGAGAAGTTATTTTGATCGGTTAAATTTTGACTTTTCAATTTTAAAAATTTATAGGAAAGTAACGAATTGAAGTTTCAAAACTCTAAACCATAGGTTAATAGAAGAATTAAATAGGATTCTAACGCAAAAACTGGCTCTATTTTCTTTCGTTTTCAAGAATCTATGGAAAAGGATTTCCCTTGAAAATGCGTTACACAGTGAAAACTGCTTAGGCGACCACCTGCATTCGAAGGGCACCTGTCAAAACGAACAAAAATTTCTGGCACGGAATAGTTTATACATAGAGTCTTCGTATAAGTTACCCGTATTAAATGACCACCTGTATAACGCGACCGCGGGCATCGATTTTTGGTCCGAATAACATACGACACCTGTAATAAGCGACCACTTCCGTGAATATATCTGGTCTAAACTCTTGTTCGAACCCACCCAGGGCACTTCTCCCACCCTTGAAATTAGGTGAAGGTGTTAATAAATTAGTCTAGCAACAAAAGAAATTCATTTCAATAATGTCAGAAAAACGAAAGAAATGCAAAGTGCTGTCGTTAGAAGATGGTGTTAAAATTATCAGAGAAAGTGAAAATGGTTTATCACAACGGCAATTAGCGGCGAAGTTTAACTGTGGTAAAGCAAAATTTATTTTACCGTAGACCTACTGTATTTTACTTAGGGGTATAAAATATTGTACACGATACAATTAATCGGATGATCTCATCGTTTGATAAAATTTATTTTATTTATTTATTTATTTATTTATTTATTGAAGCTCATATACAGTAGAGGAGAGGAGGTATTATGGAATACTATTTACATTTCTAAAAATAACTTTACTGGTTTTTGAATAAAAATCCCAAAATCATCATGAGTACATACTATAACTAATTGTAATAAACTGTCACTTGTAAAAAAAGTACTATTTATTTTGTTGTAATAAAAAAAAATTATTTAAAAAAAGTCACAAATGAAGGATAATATGGAATAGGTGGTTTAAACCATTGAAAAACTAATTAGATTTCATAAAACAGTTATTTTTAACTATAAAAACCATATTTTTAAGATTATGTGCATGTCATTCCTGCTTCGAGTCTATTTACAAAAGATATAATTTTCTATCTCTGCCCCGGTACAATCAAGGTGAGCCCACAGAGAACAGCTGAAGCATTGAATCCAAATTCTCCCTCGTTCATCTTCGGAGAATTTTCCGTTACAGAAGATACATTCAGCGTCTTCGTTTTCTGGTTCTTTAGTTGATGGCATGAAGTTCATTACAGACGATACATCACAATGGAACGATTCGTCGCTGCTAAGTGCCCGAAACGTGTAGAAGTACCCTTATCAACTAAATAAAGATGGAAAAAAGCCAAGTATTTAATTAATAACACAATCTTGTGTTCAACAGTCAATAAATACTAAAACACGGTTTCAGAAAACAAAAAATAAATAAATAAAATTAATTAATTAATTAATTATAATTATAATTGAAATCAAATCAATTAAAACATAATATTTCGAAAGTGTGCATGAAATACTTGTTGTCTGTCTTCATTGATTCGGTTATATTTCATCCACACAGATTTAAGTCTCTATTTAGAGCACTTTTTTAACGTGTTAGTTTCGGTTTCGGTTGGCGGTGAAAGAACATTTGGCTTTTATATATTTATATAGAATAAATATAGATATAGTTAAAATAATATTTATATAATATTATAATACTTTCACAGGCATTTTTATGTATGAAATACAGATAAAAAGGTAAAAGGTTTTGTTTCGAGGTCGGAAATGGTTAATTCATTTTATACTGTTTCCTATGGGGAAATTTGTTTCGGGTTTAGAACAAATCGGTTTTAGGAACAAATTATGTTCGAAACTCGAGGTTTTACTGTAAATATATATAGCCTAAATGCAGATAAATATATATAAACGTTTATTTACAGTTATATATGCATATATATTCACTTTTTTAAATATATTTAACATTTTTCAGCTTATTCGTCCCGAAATGAAGTCGTTTAATTTAACTGAATCCCATTTAAGTAATTATGGCTTTGAAGCTATTATCAATAACGAAGACATGAAAACATTTTTCAAAAGATACTGGCATTATTCCATCTACGTATCATTCATATATCTGTCGACTGTCTGTTTACTAAGAGAGTACATGAAGTTTAGACCCGCCTACGATCTCAGACGTACATCTATAATTTGGAACGGATTTCTTGCAATTTATAGTATAATTTCTGTGTTAAGATGCTTGCCCGCAGTTTATTATTATGTCACACGTTACTCCTTCTATCAAATAGTCTGCGATAAATCTCTAATAGAACTGAGACCCGAAACTATATTCTGGATTATGCTTTTTTCACTTTCAAAAGTTTGGGAATTGGGAGATACCTTGTTGATAGTGTTAAGAAAAAGGAAACTGATGTTTTTGCATTGGTATCATCACGTGGCTACTCTAATTGCAATATGGTATACCAGATCTAAAGAGGGTTCTTTTGGAATTTGCTTTGGATTTATGAATATCGTAGTTCATTCATTTATGTATTCTTATTTCGCTTTAAAGTATTTGAATGTAAAGATTCCTGTTAAAATCTCCATGTTTATTACAGCTATACAAACATTGCAGATGTTATTTGGAGTCTTGCTCTCGTTTTGGGTCTATTGGCTGCTCATCAATGGTTACAAATGTGATACTTCTAAAGACAACCTCGAATTCATGTTTGTAATGTATGTATCGTATCTATTTTTATTCAGTTATTTATTCTATAATTCTTACATAAGAAATAATCGAAAAGAAAAGAAATCAGAATAAACAGAAGATTAGAAGTGATATAAGAATAAATACTTTCACCTGATATATCGAATTGAATTGAAATAGGTTATACCATATTGCAATAACAGTATTAGGTCATTTTCAAGGAACAGTTTATTTAAACTTATATTATAAAATATGTTTATAATGATCAGAATTTATTTTTGCTATTCCTTCTAAATAGTCACTACAATTAAATCGACATTCTAAGGAGATAATCGACCGAATGTAAAAAAATCTTTGTTCTCTCAAAACTCGAAAGTTTATAATGTTATGATAGCTGCTAAAAATATGCTTTACAAGTTGGTTAATACAATTAAATTCGTTAATTTCCAAGAAACATTTTTTGCAAAAAACAGAATTTTTCGTGGTACGACTTTTGAAGGCCTATAGAGCAAAAATATAAAATTTGCCCTCTTTTAATTTTTGATAAGAAAACTCTTTTTGTGTGGGAAGCCGTGTTAATAATTATTTTCAGTTTACGTTTATTGTAATTATTCTATTAATTTATGTTATTTCAATGAACAACTAATGTAAGTTATTTTATATCTTATATATATGAATGTATTGTTTTAATATGGTTTCAGATGTTATTATAGTTATATAATCTTATGAAAATTAAAAAGAATAAACTGGAAATAAAGTTTAAAATTAAATGTTTAAAGCAATGTATTGTTTTATAACTTTATATTCACGTTTATGTAAAGGCCGTATTTGTCATCTTGCGTTGAACCTAAAATAACGTTTAAATCATAAAAATTCAAGTGTGAGATTCTGGGACGATTAATTAGTTAAATTAAAGCAATTAAAAATTAATACGCAGTTAATTTGTGAAGTGGAAAAATCCCACTTTCTTTCTCATCACCTGGCCTTTCCGTTGACCTCTGATCCGATAGATAAAGAAGTTCAAATAACCGTACAAATGAACAATCTTTAACGTTGTTTTGAATAAGTTTTAAGAATAAATCCAAACAAATGGTTATTAATGGGAAATAGTTCAAAATTAGTTAAATTATGAAGTAAGAAGAGTCAAAACACTTCGTTGATGATATCTAAGAATCTCGTATTTGTTTGTCTTATATGACAAAAAGAGTTAGAACACCCGGAAAAAGTATCAACAACCCATCCCTCACAACCCGAAACCATAATGGGCTTGCTAAAACTGGCCCTCTTAGTACCCACAGGGTGAAAAGAGTTAAAAAGAAAGTACCATCGGTAGTAGGAAGCCACTAAAAACACAAGTTTTCTCCCAATTCGGAAAAATAGCTTCATCTCTCTCGATGACTCCACCTGTTCCGGATAAATAAATCCCGGGACAGACGGGTCCCCCAACACTCTGTCCCTTATTGTAGACCCAGCTGAACTCACACTGGATATGCAAAAAGACGTTCTGAGTGCCCACAGAACGGAGAGCCAAAAATAAAAATAAAAAATCCCAGCAAATTATAAAATAATATATTATTATTTTGTAATATGTGATCCATTAGTAGGATTATTTTTAGTTTATTTGGCTAATAAATTCACTTTTAAAACTTATATCTATTAATAATTTAAGTATTGAATTAACAATTTGTATTCTTTTATTTTAAAAGTCATTTGCCTTAACTTAATCAAATAAAATAGTATAAAAACGTAGAAATGGTCAAAGACATTGTTATAAAATATATTTCTATATTTAAAATTAATAAGAAATTAAGTATTATAGTTAAAGAATAGATAAAATTAATGAAACATTTATCTATCAATAATAAGTGTTTTATGAATGAAGTCTATAAACTAACTTTTAATGATATTTATAAATTTCGATTCGAAGTTATTTTTACTAATCTTAAACTACAACTAAAAAAATTTAAATATAAAAATGACTACAATTATGTAAGAAATTAAATAAAGAATGTGTAGATTATGGATAAAAAATATGATTTATGTCCTCGCTTCCACGTTAAAGAATGAACACCAATTGCATTCTTTAATTAATCAATCAAAGCACTGCATATCATTTATATCATTAAATTAACGGAAGTATTACTGAAAAGAAAATAATGCTTTTGAAACAGACTATACAGTACTTTATTGGTCTATTCTATTTCTATTGAAATTTACGTATATAGGCTTCGACGAAATATAACTGAATTTTTACCTCGTCAGTAATAAAAGAATTATTGAAGGATATCAAAATTTATTTCTTCATCGTCAATTGTTGAACGTAGTAAAAGGATCGTTATTCTTATATAAAGTTTGAAACATTTTTATTCAGGTATTACTTTAAATTTATTACATATTTTTTATTTATTCTTAAAATGCATTTATTTTTATTTTTTAATTAATTAAAGAAACAGTATATTTTAATTACATGTACTGTACGAATGCTTTTTATTTGAATTTATCTCTTAATATATATATATATATATATGTTAAGATATAAATATCAAGTCTCCAAATTTCAATTAACTCAGGTCCTTTTTGAAGACTTTTACAGTCATGCAATTGACGTTCTGTCAATACTAATAAGAGATTTTTCACAAGTATTTTTAGTTCAGATTTTATACGTGCAAACCTGTAGCTGCTTTTCGTCAATTTTCAAATTTCAATATTTCTATTTAGATAACTTTTAACTCTCTCCGCTTTTTAACCTAAAAGCATCAGTTTATCGGTTTTGGCAGATTCGCAAGCTCATCGTGACTTTATCTCATCAGCCAACTGATTTTATATTTAGTTTTAAGCAAGACGACAGGCATAATTTACAAATTACACAGTTTAATTTGTGCAATTTTGATTTCTTAATCATCGGGACATAGTGGAAAATATATTTTTTAAATATAACGCCATTCAAGGAAGCCTATCATTACAACTCTTAAATGAAACAATTATTCCATTGTTTTATTTATTAATAAACAACGAGATGTTTTCATAATTATCGAATTTCAGTGAAATTTAAACTTCTAAAATCCCGAAAAAGTTTTATTTATCATTCAAATACTTCAGTATAAAATAATAAAAAATAAATATACAAAACAGAGTGTAAAATTTACCATATTATGTATTATTAGAAAAGTTTAAACTTTGTTCAACGCATCTTAATTTAAAATATTTTTTTAAAATTCGGTGAAGGGAAAGTTATGCAACTCGTTGCTGGATGTTTTTTTATATTGAAGAAACACTAAGACATTAACACAAAGTTAAAAGTTGTGTATGGCACCATCTGTTACGAGCTGTTAATAATAAATATAAAAAGACAAAAAGGCTTACTTTTGAGCGTAGAGATGAGTTTAAAAAAATGTTAATGCAAGTAACGAGGAAAATTTTCATTACGTCCGATCCCATTCGAGTTATGACATATGACCCTCCTCTATCTCCCTAACTCTTCAATCTTTAATCAACAAAATTTAATAGTATCAAGTCTCTTTGTATACTATTTTTTTATATTTTATTTTCTGAGGATTATTTTTTTTTCGATTTAGGGTTCTCAAAACGTCAAGATTTGCAAACTAACCGAGTCAAATTTGACATGGTTCCAATACTTTTCCGTGTTATAAACATAATATCCGGAAAATAAAAAAATCTAATGTATTTTTTTCAGTTAGTTATTTTTACACTTTTAATCATGATGTGTCAGATTCAATTTCATGTTTTACTAACATGTAAATGTTATTATGGTAGTTCCCGAGAAAGCTTATCGACAGGGAAAATATAACTCCACAATTACTAAACTTAAATTTTAAATTGTAAAAACAGTCTGTCGGGAAGGGACACATTTACATCGTTGTAGGGCTAATTCGTCCATTAAAAACAACCAAATTAAATAAAATTTTACAGAAGTCATCCCAATCTTTAAAAATTAATTAAAAAAACACTTATCTTTAAAAATTAATTAAAAAGCACTTTTATTTATTAATTTTTTATTTAAGATTTATAACTTTTAAATTTATTTACATCGATTTATTTTTATAATTAAGTAAATTATTCCTCATCATTAATTTAACAAAAGTTTCATTAACGATTGCATCGCAATACAATTAATGATGGGGAAAAAACTAATGTCTCTCCTTGTTTAAAACTTATTTTGCATAGTATACAATGTCCAATTAAGAAATTTTATTTTACAATTAAATATCTGTACGTTTCAGTACAATATAAAAAATTTATCATAGTCATTTGCAAAACGTACAGCATTATTGATGCTAACTAATGCATCCAATGGATCCTTGGATTGTCTAGCATATTATAGTTTTTTTAATCAAAAATCTTACTAACTTTATAATCAATTTGAAAGAATATATTTTAATAAGTGGAGAGACTCAGTTCTTTTATTACCAGATTCTCTCCCATCTACTTCATTTACACTTGTGTGTGGATTCTGAATCAGACAATGAAACTATTGATAGGTAAACGCTTATTCAACAGTAAATAAGGGCAATACTACATGTTGCTTTTTTAATTTTGTTAATTATTTGTATTTACCAGAGTAATTAAAGACGGTTAAGAAGTAACAAACAAGAACATGTCATTCATAATTAGAGCAATGCTTGTGTATGTTATGTATTATCGAATACTGGTCCCAAATTTTAATCAACATATATCTACATCAAACAGAAAATATAAAAAAAATTTAAATTTTAAAAAATGCATTTTGATTAAATTTAATTTAAAAATTAAAAATTACATTTAGTTTATTTTGTTATCATATTTTATGTCTTAATTCTTAAACTATATCAATTTCGTGGTGATAATAATAATGAAAGTTTCGTAGCAGAATTATTGGTTAAATTATATACGTACCGTACATAACATACAGTAGTTGTCTATGCCTAATCCTACGATGGTGAGAAAATATTTTCTTCATTTTTATTAAAACAGAAGTTTTCGTATAGTAATAGATAAAAGTGGAAACTTTATATAAAACGCAAATCTTCTTCAGCTTTCACAATATTCTTATTATTATGCGACCAAATAAAGTGTGGGCGCTCATAGGAAACCATAAAAATTGATAGAAAGTATAACTAAGAATATTTTTACACGTGAACGCTCCCACTTTTATTTTTGGTCGCATAATTCCAAGAATGCCGTGAAAACTGAAAAAAAATTTACTTTATTTAGTGCATTTATCTAAATAAAAGTTTTCTTTAAAATTTTTTAGAATATTTTTTGTTCTACTTTTCAGTTTTATATATGTAACACTGAATTATCAAATTCTTCTTGTTTTACGATTTAATTTAACGTGTATTATTCTCTGTGAAGTTTCACTAAATTTTGCTAAAATTGTTTACAAACTTTAAAAAAAAAATGTGTCATGAGAAATGCATGTGAATGAAAAGTTTGAACTATATCGGAAATTGGGAAGTAAATGATAATTGAATTATAAAATATTATCGAGAGTCAGGGGTCGAAAACTCAAATATAGCGAAGAGCCAGTCAAATAGATGTATATCAGATGCTGGCCGTATTCAATATTATTCGGTAAACCAAAACATATTGTAATTTTAAAAAAGCATCTAACAAATGTCCTTTTGTTGCCAGGCCTTTACGACCTCGTAGACTTTTGAATTTTTTTATGCTTTAATCCCCACAGTATGTTATAAACATTGATTTTTAGAAATCATCAAGGCCATGAGTCGGAAATGAATCTTTAATGGGCCGTATTCGGCCCACGAGCCGCCAGTTTGCGATCTCTGATCTAGACAGACAAAAGAAAAAAAAAGTAAATTAGTAAAAAGGTATATAATAATAATAATAATAAAATAATATCTCTTGTGTATAGAATATAATGTTTTAACATAATAGTGTTACATTTTACTTGAACGTAAAATTTTAAAAATTGTAGCGCTATTATAGTGTATAAACTATTTAAAATTTGCTGCACTTAGATTATATAATTAGATTTAATAAATTTTAGAGCAAAATTACTATTTGGCATTTTCCGTAATCTTGTTCTATGATTTATTCAAATTTACAAAAAAATATTCAAACTGTAGCAAAGTTTAAATTATAGAGACGTCTTAAACATCTCTTTTTAAAAATATTTTAATTAATAACATGATTTCAGAAGGATAATATAAAAAAGAATAACAGTTATAGAGATAATGATTAATAAGAAAAAACTTACTGAAAGACTATGCGCTCTAATTTCTTTTTCGTAATTTTAAAAATCTTACTGACAAAAGTATAAGTTAATTTTTTTTAACAACGAGAAAAATTTTTTTATATCACTTACAATTGACAAGTTATTTAAATTTCAAAAATATAGAAAAAATGTGATATCTTATAAATATTGCGTCCTTAAACTATAATATTTTATATATATTTTATTGAATTGTTTTCATGTTAAATTTTCCTTCCTATATTTCCTTATAGTACATTTTAAGGAAATATTAATATTATCGATATTGTATAAACTGTTGTGTAACGTACACATATTAAGCTATATATAAACATATATATACACAAATATGTATATATTATATTATATTAATATAATTTTTTAAGTTTACATATTATTTTTCAGCAAATTCTTTCTGTCATGAAGCCATCTAACATGACTGAATGTCTTTTAGTTCACTATAATTTTGAAACCATCGTCAATTCCGAAGATGTAAGAAGATTCTTTCAAAGATACTGGCATTACTCCATTTATGTATCGTTCATATATTTGTTGACTGTTTATTTCCTAAGAGAATACATGAAGTGCAGACCCGCCTACGATCTCAGACGTACATCCATAATTTGGAATGGATTTCTTGCATTATTCAGCATATGTGGAACATTAAGGGGCATTCCTGTATTATATTATAACTTTACACGTTATTCCTTTTATCACGTTGTTTGTGATAAAACTTTAACAGAACAAAGTCCTCAGACTATATTTTGGGGAACGCTTTTTTTGTTTTCGAAGATTTGGGAATTCGGAGATACTTTATTGATAATATTGAGAAAAAGAAATCTAATGTATTTGCATTGGTATCATCACGTGACTACTCTAATCGCAATATGCTATACATCATACAGAGAAGGCTCTTTTGGAACCTTCTTAGGTTATACAAATATTGTAGTTCACGCTTTTATGTACACATATTTCACTATAAAATCTACTGGCGTAAATATTTCTGTTAAAATTGCCATGTTCATTACAGCTATGCAGACATTGCAAATGTTATTTGGAGTCTTGCTCTCGTTTTGGGTGTATTGGCTGCTCATCAATGGTTACAAATGTGATACTTCTAAAGACAACCTCGAATTCATGTTTGTAATGTATATATCGTATCTATTTTTATTCAGTTATTTATTCTATAATTCTTATATTAGACCTGACCGAAAACAAAAGAAAACAGAATAACCAGACTTTCAGGGAAAGTAATAGTAATTAAGAATAGATACATTTTAATATGGATTGTATTTTACCGAATGATTTATACGGGAAAACGAAGATATACAGCTGATATGTTAAATAGATATATTGCAGTTATAATATTATGTTGTCAAAAGAATATTTTCTTTTATTTCTTGAAATATTGTAGAATTTACTTTAGTTTCTTATTTCTTGTCAACATTGATTAACTACAGCTAAGTTGACAAATTACGGACATAGTCAACCTCGTAATGATTGGCCTATAAGTATAAAAACTTTCTTACAGGTAAACATTAGATTTGTTACGGCGGTTACATAAGTTAAATTACAAAATAAAATGTTATACGAAACATTTTTCTAAAAGTTCAATATTTTCGGTTTTAAATACGGTAAATAAACTGTAATTATACTCAAAAATATTAAATACGAATATTTGTTGCATGCTAATACTGTACAGCACATACGGATTTTTTCAGAGTGGACGAATAGCATCTACAATAATATTTTCGTATTCATATCGATCCATTCTTACCAGTACAGCCAAATACATTCTTATTATATTTCCGCAATTGGCAGTTTATAATGAAAATCATGGCCCAGTGCACGAGCCCTAATCCATTAATTGCATTTTATTTTTATAAAGAGGAAGCATTGTTTCCCAATATGCAAAATTTCATTGGCAAAGGCCTATTCATACAGGAGTTATGAGCAATCGAAAATCATTAGATATGCATCAGTAAATATTTATGTGAGGGGTTTATTGGTAATATATGAAGAAATTACAAACAAATATAATTTATTGTACAAAATTAATACAATAGTTCCGCTCACCAAAAATAAATAAATGAATGAAACAGAAATAAATTTTACATCAAGAGAATCTAATAATCACATGATTAGAGCAGTTATTACAAGTCATGTGATAACATTTCCTATACGAATGGGCCTTTGTCAATGAAATTTTGCCTATAGAGAAAACGTCACCTGCTCTTCATAAAAATAAAATACAGTTAGTAGATCAACACCTTCACAGGGTCGTGATTTTGAATGTTAGAAAACAGTTCTATAGATTATCTCATTACTTCTCGTTAATTCAAAAACTGTATTTGTAAAACGTAATATTTAACAAATTTTCTTATAACAATTCCTCAAAACACTCTATACTATATATTATATATTTCATATATGCATTAATTATTTTAATATGATTATTGATTTTTTTATAATTAAATATTCTTAAAACAATTAAAAACGAATATATTGAAATAAAATTCCAAATTTAAATTTAAAATTTGTATTTTTTTATTTTATTTCTTTATTGACTTTTCCCGTCCCGTGGTNATTTACTCTTTTCTACGGAATTATTTAAAATTTGTATTTTTTTATTTTATTTCTTTATTGACTTTTCCCGTCCCGTGGTTACTATGAGGGCTATTTTTTTGCGCCAATCATGGGTTCAGCCAAGCCGAAGAAGGGCTGGTTTGGGGCATTTTTCTGTGTTTTGGGTTAAAATTATGACGTATTTTTATTAAAATGATGATTATTTAAGCATTGGTGAATAACACTGGAAAGAAACAGACGATTTTAATCCAGAAATTATTTAATCCAATTTTTTTTCTGCAAATGATACGAAGTGCCTATAGAATTTTTATATATTTGTATTTATAATAGCTTATCATAAAACTATAGAAGTAGGTTTGTCCTTTCACGGCATCTTCTACATCAACAGCGTAATACGTTTGTAAATTTCTAAAACTAATTTCTCAAGTTGCATTCCGATTATCATCCCCATACGAATTCATATAAGCTATTACTTCCCTTAACAAAAGTATGTCGTGAGAGCAGGCAAAACACATTGGTATTGTTCTATTATTAATTATCATAAAATAGCGAAAAGCTTAATTTTGAGAGAAGAGATGAGTTTTATTTTAAACGAGCAATTATTTTTTATGACATCGTCACAATGTCGGGTTGCAATTTTTAATCATATTTTTAATTTATTTATTTAAAACATGTGCTCTTCATCTCAAATAAGTAGTGGCTTGGCCACTACTAATTTCCTTTAACAATAGCATTACGCCGGTCATCTAACACCTTTCGGAGGGAAATATTTAAATTGAAATCACATGACTTTAGGCCTCTACCAGAAGTTCGTATATAGTTAATCGGGTCTTTCTGCCCCTAAGGTTTCCATATGTGGTCTCAACTTTCAACTAGCTAACTCTGTTCTCGAGATTAAGGAATGACAGGCAGATAGACGGACGACAGTGGAAATTTATAGGTCTACAATTTTTTCAAATAACAGCCCAACAACAAATAAAATCTTCATTGAGTCCGACTCCACTCGAGATATGATACGTGATTCTCTTTATCTCTCCATTCCCTCGATCTTTAACTATAAAAATTTAATAGCATCAATCCCCTAACATACAAACCTCCCTACAAAATTTCAGAAATTTTCACAAAAGGTACAGGAATTATTAAGCTTCAAATGGATGAACAAAATCCTGCTCCCACACACACTGACATCCATACATCTCCGAATACTTTTTCATTTCTCGATGTTTCAACGTTCCCTAAGTCCAAAAATGTAAAAATATTAGGAAGGTTATTTTTAAACCAATCGCCATACTTTTCCTGTTATATGCAACAGCCGGAAAAGTAAAAACATGAAAAATATCCAATTTAGAAATAATATTTATTTAGAAGTATATAAATATTAAATTATTTATTAAATGTGATCTTAATGTACTTCGACATTTATTTGTTTTTTAATTTATAAAACTTTCTATTTATTACCGTATACATTTATAATTCAAAGTTAGTTTTGTCATTTTTACCATTTTTTATGTCAAGCTCCGCAGACGTTTAAGCCGAACTTCTACTGGTCATGCTCGACGTTCCAAACGCCATTGTCAAACTTCTACGATTACAAGATGGCGGCGCTCGACGTTTGACATTCACGTTTTAGAGATGAAAACTTCGGCCGCAAACTCTCTAATAATATTTTTTTAAATCTTTAATAAAATCTCATAACAGATGGCGCTACATGCATTTTTAAATGTTTCCGAGAATTTATACAACTTGTTGCTGGATTTTTTTAGTATAGTTTTATTGTTTAAAACACTTTCGTAGAAATTTAATTCAGTTAGATTTTTTTCACGTTGAAAAAAATATAATTTCATTCTCTGGAAATCAATAATTCATCTGCAGAAATATGAAAAAATCATTTGCAGAAAAATATCTGTTATTGGTCACCCTTTTAACTGTCAGGGTACTATATTTAGTTTTGGAGAATACAGTAGAGCGTCGATTTTCCGAATCAATTGGGGACTGGGATTGTCCGGATAACTGATATTTCGGATAACTGATTTATGTACGAAAAAATAGTTTAACGTATCCGATGTCGAAATTTTTCTCCGTTGCGTGTCGCTTCGCATTGAATTTTCGTCGATGTTAAGCCTAACAAAGACTATTGTATCGTTAAAAATTATTTTTTTATTTTGTACAAACAAAATAAATATATTGAAAAATATAAAAATAATAAAAAATTATACTTCAGATGTTAATTTAGTATCAAAAACGTAAAATATTTGAGTAGCCCAAGACATACCCAAAGATTGAAGTGCCACAGCACTGGCGAAAATTTAAATTTGCCGACTGGATCTTTCCGATGATTGACTTTCGGAAAATCGACGCTCTAGTGTAGTTACTTTTTTCTTTTTCTTTTTCTTTTCTATTTTTTTGCTATTACTATAATGAAATACCGTATTTACTAAATTTTACTGTATATAAGCCTCCATTTCTGTATTGTATGCTAGTTAAGATACTAACTCGCAAACAAATACAGCACTGTACCTGTACAGTAAATGAACAACTGGTTAATTGTATACTACTGCATTATAGGACTGCGTATTAATTGTGGTTTTACAACACTGATTTAAATATTTAAAGTATTTAAATCAACTCGCTAATTTAACACTCAAGTTTTTTACTGCATTTTGACTCAAAAAACAAGAAAAATTGTAATACACACTTTTATTTAACAAATGAAAAGTTAAAAAGACATCCTTTACAGTTAAAATTCACCATTCTACGTGTTACAGCTGACTAACTACAGCGAAAAACAATAATAATAACGACATGTTGAATTAAATAGTAACATTTTTATTCGAAAGTAACCACATTGTTTTTCAACATTCTTCTAATATCGGCACCAAAACCTTGTAATTTATTTCTTGTGGCACTTCGCTTTCTTTATCAATGTAGAGTCTGTTCAGCTTTCAGTACTTTTAGTAATGTACGTATGTATCTCGGATGTAATGATGATTTTACTCGTTAAAAATTATAAATTCACAATTGTTTATATAACATATTTCTACACTCAAAATTAAGCTTTTTGCCATTTTATAATACAGGTAACCCCCGTATAACACGGCACTTCTATAGCACGGATTCACTCTAACACGGTTCGAGAATTGGGAACTTCCCTCATATAACACGGACGTGCGACTAAATATCCAGATGGCGCAACGCGCTGATTGGTCGGCTGAATGACGTCAACCCACAGAAATAGGAAATGCTGGTCGATTATATTTTGTGGTCGTCAGAACGAAGTAACGCAGAAATAGATTATTTTTTTTATAGTTGTAATATGGAGTGAGTATAAAGTTTAGTTCGCATGTTTTCTTAAATTTATAGGAATAATTTTAAAACAGTTTACTTTTACTTAATAAATTACTAAGATTATTTATTTTTTTGAACGAATTTTAACTTCATACTTGATCTTTATGTACCTCTGAATCGAATCATACACAATACATAATTTTAATAGTTCGATTAGTGTTTTAAATTTAAATATACGTGCACAGATAATGAATAACAGAAAATTTATAATTTGTTACAGATATTATTTATAAAAAGTTCGAGAAAGGATGAAATTTATAATTAAGACGAGTCAGAATATTTTTTTAATTTGTCACATGCAT